CCCCCCCCCAGCTGGCCTCACCATCAACGTGCCATGTGGCGCTTGATTCCCTCTGGCATTCCCACTCTGGCAACTCGGCCGCGTCTGGCAACTGGAAGGACGAAGGCACATGCACACACACGGCGTCCACTATTCATCGCCACACGCACTTTCTGCATGGATGCAAAGTAACGTCGTGTTATTTGCGAGCATTCGGAGGCGATCTTTTGCTCCAAGTTTGAATGCGTACGAGTGAACGGAACCGGTCGGGCGTTGGCGGGCGCGTGCCACCCTGGCAAGGCCGCTTGGGATCGCCCAGCAGAATTCCAGTTACCATGGTGATGTCCAAGCTCATTGGTAATAGAATCTCAATTTGAGAGAGATTAATTCAGGGGGAAAGAGTTGATTTATTCATCCTGTCGGATGCTGACGAACCCCCCCCCCCACACACACACACATTTGCACCCATCCTCCGGCTCTGACAGACACTTATTACCTCTGCCAAGGAGCTTGTGGTTTCCGTCACCTTGTGTTTGTTACTTTTCTTTTTGTTTGAAAAATGCAATCATTGTTTTTCTTCTCTTTCAGAAAGTAGAAAGTATCACTCTGATCGTCTTCATTTTAGGAAAGCTCAACGACAATCGTTTTTCTTTGTTGGAAATGCAACCGGGATAGCTCGTCTTCATTTCAGGAAAGGACGGTACATTCATAATTTGTCCTTTTTGGAAAGTACAAAATAAAGCGATTTAGAGACATAATTAATTCATTAATTAAATCGGCCTTATGATTATTCCAACAATTCTCAAGTATTACGGAGGTCGGTTGACAAAAGGAAGTTGTTTCATTTAGCCCCACGAGTGGACAGATGTCGCTGTGACGCCGATGATGGAAGTTCTCCACAAGCAACAACCAGAATGACAAATTCACAATTACAGCGCATCATTCTCTTTACACAACTAAATCTAAACATTGACAGAAGACTAACGGCCGCTGTCCCTGGCCAGCAGTCACGGCCACCATAAAGGACATATTAGTCCTTCACTTTGTTCACAGCTGACTCCATCAACCCTGCCTAAGACGTCCCCCCTCCCGTGTGTGTAAATCTTGTGAGCGCTTGAAAAACACTTTGCGAATGCTGGCGTCCCGTTAAAAGTGACTCCGTCGCTAAATTCATAATTGGACGAGTGTTGTCGCTATACGCCGCATACATTCATTTATGAGCGCATATGCATGAGCATATGTTCAATACCAGCATGTCTCTACGCGACCCTCACGTCCCCCCATTTCCCCCAATTCGGTGCTAGAGTGCCCCCCCCCAGCACCCACACGGAGACCTCCTCTCCTCTTCGCTCCTCTTCTGATAATCTTTTAATCCAGAGAGGCGTGCACTCCGTTCCGTTGACTCGCAATTGAGACACACTTGACAGAGTCATCATAACACTGCCGTAAATATTGGCGTCCACTCCAATTGACGCCGTGCCTTACATGAACAAATAAATGCCTCAACCCAAATAGCAACCCTAAAAAATTGTGTCTTCTATTTCAGAAAGTCCAACATCATGAGTTTGAACAACGGTGAGAAGTGCAACTCTAACATTTAGGTGTAAATGAACATTATGTATGTAGTATGTGATTGTCATTTGCAGTGATTTTTTTCCCCTGCACCGCATCCTACCGAGAGCTGTTCCTAATATTTTGGCCGGCGAATTGACTGAGCATGATTATGTTTTGTCATTTCCGAGATGAGAACTCGTGACAACAGACGGCGGCCAATTAGGTGAAATCCGCGCAAGGTCAATCTCACTTTCAGGTCAAAGTCGAAACCTGCAGCGGGTGGCGACTGAGGCGTCGAGGACAGCGATTAAAGTACGTTTGCGTGTGCGTCTAGTGTATGCACGTGTGTGTGTGTGTGTGTGTGTGTGTGTGTGTGTGTGTGTGTGTGTGTGTGTGTGTGTGTGTGTGTGTGTTGAGAGCATCTGTGTGTTTGAATTCAGTGACAGATGTTCATTAGTCTTTGACAAGCCCGCACTGCTCACATCTCGAAGCAGTGAAGGCATGAACATAAGGGCGAGAAAAAACATCACTGCCTTTCGGAGATGTTTTTTTTTTTTTTTTTAATAAATATCTTGTTGTCGTTTTGGCTAAAAATACATTTTGTATCAGTTATTAGCTTGGGTCTAACTTGCTCATCACTTTTCCCATTTAGACCGAATCTGGTTAGAATGAAACCGTGGAATTTAGAGTTTTACATTGACAGCGTTTTCATTGTAACCAGGTTCCTCGTAAATGGCAAAGACAGTTTATTGACCTGAATTCAGAGATATGTTTTGAAATACACGCTTGAAGATACGTAATTGCTAAAATTGTGCAAAGGATGTTACTGAATTGTGGAAATGTAGCATGAAACTGTGTTCTCCATTTCAGTTTTACGCCTGTTTTGGCTTTTGTTAGCCATGCTAGTTAGCCATGTTGTCTGCCTCGGCGACGAGTCTGTTGGATTTATTTCGCCAAGTGTAGACAGGCTAACTCCTGCATGCAAAAGTTCACGACAAGACAACTCACGCAAATGTCTGTTCGTATCGAGCAAATGACCTTTGCGAACAGACACACTTCATTAGCACGCTCACTATACTGTATTCTTGCTGGACCAAACTGCAGGACCAAGAAACTTATTTTTAAAACCGCGGTATGCCTTGAAACTGGTAACTGGCCCATTCGTAGTTACCCTTTAGTTTGTGGACTAGCTGGTAGCTTGTGCCTCTTGGCGCGCCATGCAGCGCCCCATCGTCACTCGGCGGAATATATTTAATGGCTCTCATGTCGATATTTTGCAGGAGCCCGAGAAAGGCATTTTTAGTTTTACACACATTGAATGAAGTGTCCCAAGACTTTTTGTCCATGGCGTGAGCATTTCAAAAGGGAGTTTTTAGAAAGCGGGTTAGTGTGCGTGTGTGTGTGTGCGTGTGCGTGTGTGTGTGTGTGTGTGTGTGTGTGTGTGTGTGTGTGTGTGTGTGTGTGTGTGTGTGTGCGTGTGCGTGTGCGTGTGTGTGTGTGTGTGTGGTTAGAGGAAGGTGAGCAGCCAATAACAGAGAGCCAGCCGAGCCTGAGGCAAGGGTGTGATGTACTGGGAGAAAAAGGTGTGAGTGGCAGTGACTGCGAGGAAAGAAAGGTGATATGGAAAGTGTACGTGTAATTTGGAAGAAAGAAAAAAAAACCCAAGAAAAAGAAGTCGACTGCAGTGGGATGATGCAGGAAAAAAAACAAGAAGAAGAAGAAGAACAACAAAAAAAATGGAGGCAGTGAGCTGGACTGAATACCATCTGACAGGTCCAGCTGGGAGTTTGCCCGCCCGGCAGCACTGCAAAACCCCTCAATATGGCCGCCAATTACTGCTGCCCGCGTGACCGTGCCATGGCTGCGGCGGCGGCGGCGGCGGCAACGGCTTCGCCCGGCATCCTCCTCACTCGCCTCTCCATCACCCTCCCCAGTGCTCATTGCCTCACACTCCCTGAAAGATAAATAAATAAATAAATTAAAAAAAAAAAAAAAAACACTCCTGCCATCTGTGCGGCAAAACACCACTGCATAATAGACACTCGCCGGCCACTTCATTAGGGACACCCGCACAAGCTCTAATGAGCTCCATGACAGGAGCCACAACAAGAAGGTAAACAAAACACTCGTTTATGAATCTGTTTATTCTCTTTAGCATCGACGGAGCACCGCATCCTGTATTTCTGCAAACGATCAAACAGGGGGGGGGGGCTCATATTAGAGGGGAGGCATTAATTTCGACTTGACTTTCTACTTTTTTGTTTATTGGTGATACCGAGTAAAAAGTGTCATTTAAAACCAAAATCTTTTCCAACTATTATGGAGAAAGCACAGAAAAATGAACATGGGACGCATGCAGTTTGTCAAGTGGACACACGTTGAAACTGTAAGAATGCACTTTTTACCTTTAACACGTTTAGATATTTTAATTCATTTGAGGGGCTTATCTGCTGCTGTTTTGGTTAGCAACAGAGCTCCGACAACACGAGTGGCGATCAGGACAAAAAAGGATTTTAGAAAAACAGAACACGATGCCTTAAGATTTGCAAGTAATTAAAGCATTTTGAACCTTGTAGATTGAGTGCATGAATAAAATGGCGTCACAGCAGCTAAAGCTTTAAACAATCATTCCGCCACTCATTTATTTATTTCAGCGTAAGGACACTTGCTTCAATTGTTTGAAAGGTTCCCGATGGGAATGAAAGGCGTCTACTATTTCGTCTTAGGTGACAACTCATTCAAAAGTAGGAATGATTGTGGTTAGATTTGTTTTTCTTTTGCAAGGATACACGAGTTAACCTTAAATATGAAGATAGCACTATAGCAATCCCCCCCAATTTGGACATAATTTCGACTAATACCACCAAAATTATTGCAATGCAATCACAGTGATAATATGATGAGTGTATTGGTCTAGATGGAAATTAAAGCCTCTGTACTATGACACAAAATGAACAGTTCGCTGGGTTATTTGATTACATTTTGCACGGTATTTATTAAGGCATTTTACAGACATCCATTTTAACAAATAGGCTTGAACTAATTGATTTAATGGTGATTAAATCCATATCACAATTTGAGTGGGGGAAAAAAAAGGAGAGGCCCGGGTTGTCAAAGACAAAAAGACACTATTTCCATTTATGTGACACATCCAAATAAGTGTAAAAAAATTTAAAAAAGGAATCATTGCGTATTATGAACGAGTTCAACTACATTCTCCTGCATGTATGGAATAAAAAAAATCGAAATGCAGTTTTGTTGTTTGTTTGTTTTTTTCCAGCAGGCTGTGCAGGAGTAATGAGCAGATGTTGGTGGAATTAGCAAAGAAACACAGGGGCCCTCCCACAAGGGCCCGTGGACGTTTGGCCGGGTTGCGGCGTGCGTGGCGTGGCATGTCGTGGCGCGGCAGCTGCACGGTGGGGGCCAGCGTGCACGCGTGCCTGGTGGACGTGCTCGCTGCGCTCTGGTGGTGATTTGGTGCGAATTGCTGCCACCTGTATCGGCCGCAAAATTCTCATGGAGGATGCGTTGCAGAAAGGGCATTTAGACGCACTCAAATCACTTCAGAATTTAAATGTTTCCATTTTATAAACTAATTATTCACAGATTATTCAATCAAAAAGTCATTTTTTTAATGTGAAGATAGTTACACATAGACGTTGTTTCTTCTGCGTGGTAGGTGCTTTTATTTCCCTCGCACATAGCACACATGAGTGGCTCATATTTTTATTTCGGCCTTTTTTATAAACTGTATAAAACGACAAAACATCACACAAAAACCTTAAAGTCATTGTCACGATTATTTTCCCATTTTAAGATGGACTGGACATTTTAAAAGCGGCTATATGCGCATTTTTTAATTCACTGGTTTCTTGATTATTTTGGCAGGTTCGGCGCTTTGAAATATGACTTTCTGACTCATTCAAAATGAAAATTCAGCTCGTTTTTTTTTCTTTTTGTTTTTGTTTCAAAAGGTGGAACATCTGGTCCGGGGAAAAACGCTCGATAGTATAAAGGTTCATATTCCTTATATAGGGCCATTTCACTTTGTATCAGGTCATGAAAGCGCCATTTTAAATTCATATTTATGTATCAATGTTCGCTATCTACATTTGTGTCCTTTTTTTTTTTTTAATTGAATAAGAGAGTGCGCCTGCAGAGCCTCGCACACTTGACCAGCAAGGCAACATATGGGACCACGGGCGGTGGTCCAACATGGCGCCCGCACGCTCTCAGCGTTATCATCATTATTATTAGATTATTATAATTATTATTAGAAAGGATTGGAGAAATCAGCAGTGGTAGGCCTGTACACACAATCCACATCGTGATTGTGCCGTTGTCCCAGCCTGGAAAAGCAGCCTCCGTGCAGTGTTTGAAAATGCAGGAATAGAGAGTGTGCAAGGAGCAGGTGCTGACATTAATTTATATCATGTTCAAATTTTCACTGAAATGTCCATTTATATAAAAAAGAAACCCAATTAAAAGAGTTAAACATGTTTTATTGTGTTCCCCTGAAAGATGGCTTTTCTTTTTTTACCTGTGCAAAACAGACTTCGTATAAATTAATTTGAGGTGAATAATTCAGATGTCCTGCTCTTTAAAATCGGGGTGCATCTTGACAAATCCTTTTCATCGTCTGCTTTTTATTTATGATTTTTTTCGGGGGAGGGAGAGTAATGCATAGAGAACCCATTTTGTAACGTCCCAGTGGCTTTTACACCCCACGCTTTTATGATGGTGTAACCTGCAAGAACCTCAATAAATAGAAATAAAATCTTTGAGTAATTTAGTATAATCTATTTTCTCGCTGTAAATGATTTTGCTTCAATTGTTTGAAATGAGGCAGAATTCGAGGGTGGGTGGACATCCGTATAGATTAGAATGACGCATAAAACAATTATAAATCTTGTTTTATTTGTGTATTTCGTTTATATTACATGTGTCCGGTCATTTAACACACACTCACACACGCACGCACACACACACGCACGCACACACCTTTTAGGGTATTAGGGTAGGGTAAAATACAAACAGTTGATCTTCTCCCTCCACCTCTTTAACACCAGCTGCCCTCATGCCTTCCCTCACTACGTCCATCAACATTCTCTCAGGTCTTCCTCTTGCTCTTTTTCCCGGCAGCAACATCCTCACCACCCTTCAACGGACACACTCACTCTCTCTCCTCTGGAAATGTCCAAACCATCGAATTCGGCTCTCTCTAACCTTGGCTGTTCCTCTGATGAGCTCATTTATAATGCAATCCTAAAGAAAATCTCAACATCTCCCATTTCCGACAGCCGCAGCCGGCTCTGTTTCCTGTCATTTCTTCAGTGCCACTGTCTCCAATCCATAGATCATGGTCGGCCTCATCACTGTCTTATCAACTTTCATCTTCATCCTAGTAGGGATTCTTTTAGAACACCACTGATACTTTTCTCCACCCATTCAGTAAACCCCGTTTAAAATGGGGTTTTTCTGGCGAAAGCTGAGGCCAAAAAAGGTCAAAGTCAAGTTTGCGCACGCAAACATACGCACGTACACGGTACCGCACAATGAACAACATCATGTAATCGGATTACAGGAGAAGATAAGGATTGTGACTCAATTGAGTCAGTTGTGGAAAAAGGCGCTGATGTCCTCGTAGGGGCCCACGGCGCCCTCGTGGTGGCCCTCGTGGAAGGGGGGGATGTTCTCGGAGTGCGCGCCCCCGCCGCGCGCTCCAGAGGGGCCAAACGTCAAACCGCGTCCGGCTCGGGAGTAATGCATAGAGGAGTAATGATAGTTCCGCTCCGCGTCGAGCTCCTGTTGCTTGCCGGACGCGCCCACGCCGACGCCCAAGCACCCCGGCGGGCTGCGCTGGCCCTCGTAATCCGGGCTCAGGTAGTCCGGGGAGGCCCCGCCTGGAGCGTACGCGGCCTCGAAGCCGGAGGGGTACGAGTGCCCGCGTAGGTTCAGGGGTCCGCCGCCCGGGCCTTGGTAGTTGGGGCTGGCGAGGCGGCACCGGTACGACGACGACGACGACGACGAGTACGGGTGCAAGGAGAAGGGTGAGCCGGGCATGTGGAAGCGCCCCGCGTCCGGCTCGGTGAGGAAGTTGCGCGTGTTGAGCTGCAGGCAGCCGGCCACCAGGTTGGTGGTGGGCTGCGAGAGGCCCTTGCACAGCATCTGCACGTAGCTCACCACGTCCGGCCGCTTGCCGTTGCGCAGGATCTCGCCCAGCGCCAGGATGTAGTTCTTGGCCAGGCGCAGCGTCTCGATTTTGGACAACTTCTGCGTCTTGGAGTAGCAGGGCACCACCTTGCGCAGGTTGTCCAGCGCCGAGTTCAAGTCGTGCATGCGCGTGCGCTCGCGGGCGTTGGCCTTCACCCGGCGCACTTTGGAGCGCTCCTGGCGGGCCGCGCTCGTCTTGCGCTTCTTCGGACCGCGTTTTTTGTTGCCTTTCTCCTCGGGCCCTTCATCAACACCGCCCTCCTCCTCCTCCTCCTCCTCCTCGTCCTCCTCCTCATCTGCCATTTCGGACTCGGCTCGGCTGCTGCTGTCGCCGCCGCGCGCCTCGTCCAGATCGTCCTCGCCGCCGAGGTGCCCCTCATGCTCGCTCTTCACCTTGGCCACCTCGTCGGGGGTGTCGGCCCAATCTGCCGCCAGCCGCTGGACGTCCGGCAGAACCTCACTGAAGAGACGGCTCAACATTGTCACCTGCAACAGAGGAGGCGGGGTCCCGCGCGCGGTGTTTATATCCAGTCTATGATGTCATCTTCATGGAAAAAAAAAAGGCTGGAAATGGATGAGCCATGTCACATGAACCATGTGATGATAATATAAAGCTGAAGAGGCCATATTATTTGGGATATCTGCATGGCATGTGACAAAAAATGTTTTATTGGAAAGGCATGTCTCTTCTCACATTATTAGGGACACCTGCAAATGGGATGAGGGGACAAAAAGGGAATGCATGTGCCATGCCATATTATTAGGGACAGAGGACAACATGGCATGAAATGCAAAATGGCTGGAAATCGATGTTAGGTCACATTATTAGGAACACTTGCAACATGGGATGAGAGAAATGTGATGCATGGGTGAAGGTTGCACAGAACAAAAAAAGTCTGGAATTGGATGTCACGGGTCATATTACTGATTGGGTATGTCTGGGTCACGGGCAGCATGGCATGAGACCCAAAATGGACGGAAATGGATGTCTCCAGTCACATAATTAGGGACATGTACAACATGGGATGCAACAAAATGCCATCGTCCGCCCACATTATTAGGGACACTTTTCGCACGATGAGACAAAATGGCTGGAAATTGATGTGTCACATCATTAGGTACAGCTGCAACATGTGCTGGAACACAAAAAAGGGGTGGGGACCAGATATGTTGGGCCATATTATAAGGTACACCTCCAACATATGATGGTCCACTAAAACAATGAAAATGGATGTCTCAGGTATTAGGTAGCCTTCACCTGCAACATGAGATGACAAAAAGAAAAAAAAAAAAGAATGGATCGGGTCATAGAATTAGGTATGAGTGGAATGCACATGACACAGACGCGCACACGCAGGTGTTCCTAATATTCTGCATGTCGTTTCAGTCAAAAAATCAAATCAGCACCTCTTTGACAGCGTCGATCAAAACAATCATATTTGGTAAGGGCGCGGCATGGCGTGCAGGTGTACCTAAAGCTCTGACCAATGAGCAGAATCTGCAGGCCCCAAGTTCACCACCCCTATATATAAAATAGTTGACATTTTTATTCTTAAAAAAAAATCCATGCACTATTTTTTTGTTTAAAAGCTATGATGCACACAATTTAGAGCATGGTTTCCAGTAGATGATGTCAGGGCAAGATATAATTTATTTTAGCGCCCCGAGCGAGGACCCAAATGTAAAAATTGAGCTGAAAAAAAAGTTTTCAAGGAACCCTGATTCGATTCAAAAATGTTAATTTTGTTTTGAATAATGATGATTTAAGTTATTGTTATGCTTTTTAAAAAATCACAAATGACTCATCTTGGACTCCATGCTATTTATTGCTTAAATTGAAAATCAATTGAAAATACACTCCTCAGCATATGAGATGCTATCAGTTTTGTGGGTTTTTTTTTTCTCACCTTTTTCCACCTAAAATAAACACCCTGCAATACACACTGGCGTATACTTCGTCAATTATCTCCCGTGTAGCCCAGAGAATTCGACTCGCTTGGTGTTCAGATGCACACACACGCGTCTCTGTAAAGCTGCCAGCAATGAGGATCCATGAACGACAAAAAGATGCCCGCGTGGACGAGTGATGGGATGGAGGTGGACACAAAGAACTATTTTAGAGGAACCTACCTGGGTTTTGTTTACACCATGTCGACAACGCGTCGTGCAGGGCAAAGAAGAGACTGCCGTGTGGTCCTCGCTTGTGAGCCTACCTCCCTCTTCCTCCTCTTCCTCCTCCTCCTCCTCTTCTTCTTCTTCTTCTTCTTCTTCTTCTGCAGCCACCCTGCCTCTGTCTGCAGCCCAGACGCGCGCAAGGGGAGGAAGCGCACGGGTGACTTGCGTAGCGAGGCCGTGTGATGCCAGGCCCATATGGCTGGAACGTCATTGGCAAGAGCCATCACATGAGAGCCGCTGATTGACATGTGGCCGCATTCACAGAGACTGCCCCCCCAACACCTCCCCCTGGGGCGGGCGGCTGGGTGAGGTGGTGGTGGGTGGGGGTGGATGAGAAGAACTCGCCATCTGTCAGCGGGCACTGAAAGGCAAAATGAAATAAGCTGCAAGTGAGTGGCTTCACACTGGTTCTGTTTTAGAGGGAAAAATGGGGTCAGTTGCAAAAATGTTACATGTAATCCCATCATATGCATCCACTTTAAAGCATTCCGAGCAAGCCATAGTAGAGTTACACCTGATGGAGGGGGGGGTTAATCAGGTCAATCAATTCAAATGTGACTTAGGGGTTTTAGACAGGGTTAGGGGGTCATGTTAGGGTTCCAAACTAGTGTTTCGGGTTCAAAGCCAGGAGTAGGGTTTCAAAGAAATTAGGGTATAAAACTAAGGTCAAGGTTTCCAGCCAGTGCTAGGTCTTCAAGTCTGCGTTTGATTTTTAAGAGAGGGTTAGGTTGTTTGTTGAAGTCGAGCACTCATTTTAGCACAATTACGGCAATCAACATTCTGGTCAAATGAACACCTTGCTAATGAGGGTTTACGATCGTTAAACGATTCATGGCTGAAATAATTCCGGAACAATCCCCAAGTTCCCACGTGGGGAAGCGGGAACAACACGGGAACAGACGACACAATATGGCGGCCGCCCCAAAGCCGGGGTGTCGGGGCGCGATCGCCTAAACGAGTCAATTGAACCGAGCTAAAGCGGTGCCCTCGCAGACGTGCCCGCTTGCCAAGCTTGGCACGGACGGCCACCAGGAATCGCGGACGGGGGCCAAGAGACGAGAAAGGAAGAAGAATGCACAACTAGACAAAGCCGGAATCTTATTTATCGGGATATGTTCGGGGAAAATGTATTTTGAAATGCTGCAGCAAATAATGATAACTAGCACATTTTTGCAATTAAATTGTTCATTAAATTGCCCAGCGATTGGCTGGCGAGTGGTTCAGGGTGTCCTCCGCCTTTTGCTCGAAGACCGCTGGGGTAGGCTGCAGCACCCGCCGCGACCCTTGTGAGGATAAAGCGGATCAGAAAAATGGATGGAAGGATAAATTATTTCATGATAATCCGACCAAATGTTTTATACATACCCTTTCGAAATTACCTTCCACAAACCCCATGATGGATGCTTGATTATCAGGCCATCACCACCCTTGTCGTCTTCTCTGTAAATATGTACGACATTATTCGAACAGGTTCTGAAGGAATGCTTTAGTACATGGGGGAAAAAATTGTCGTGTATCTGGTGGCGCAACCCCAAACACAATTTTGCTTTTGTAATCGTTTTCACTTCAAGTCGGGAGTGGTCAATGACCTTTCTGCCACTCGGAAGTAGCCACATCATTAAACTGTTCACAATGTACTAGTTTCATTCTCCTGCTCTCTTTAGTAGGGGCTGACATCTAGTGGACATAAACTGTTAGTGTGACTCACTTGGCTTTAACATTAATTTTGGTTTCAATTAATTTGGGTTTCAATTTAAGCCAGGATCTGGGTGTCATGTTAATGTTTAAGACTAGGGTTAGAGTTTGAAATTAGGACTTCAAAATAGAGTTCGGGTTTCAAAATTCAGTTTCAAGGGTTTTAAAAATGTGTTGGAATTGGGGTCTCAAAGCGAGGGTTAGTGTGTCAGTGACAGTTTAAAATTATTTGAAATGATGGTTTGAAGATAAGGTTTTTGATTTCAAGTGGTTAGGGTTTCAAAATTGGGTTTCATGCCAAAATTACGGTTTCAAGCTGGGGAGGTTCAATTTAAGGTTCTGAGGTAGACGAAGGGTTTCAAATTAGGGTTTTAAGACCGAGTTATGTTTTCAATGCTGGGTTTCACATCAGGGGACGGGTTCACCATATACACAAATATTTCATAATGAATATAGTGATGCTTTATTGCCAATTTTTTCTCCTACAGGTATGCACCTTTTATGCCACACGAAGTCTGCCAAGCAACAATTGGGCGTGCAAACGTCACGTGACCCGGAAATGAAGCAGGCCGTTTCCGGCGGCAGTCAATTACCGATGTCGCGGTGTGCCAGCTAACTTTTAACATTACTGTACTCCTGTCGTGAAAGGCATTGCGTATTGTATCTTCTTTGCGGTTGGGTACGAATTCCACGAGGAAATTAAACCCAGGAGACTCGACTCTAAACGAGAATAAAGTAAGGCAAGTACTCAGGTACCACCTGTAGCGGTTTGTACCGCACCTGTTTTGCTAATTGTTAAATGCGACTTGTTTGGAGTATGTTGAAGACGTTAATAGATAAGTTACATGAATCCGTCTGAGCTTTACTAGTGAATTCTTTGTTTGTCAGCAAACCTTTGTTGCTGCTGTGAGGGTTATTATGACTATTTTTTAAAATTTTGGAACCAACCGAGGGGCTTGGAATCTTCCTCACCACTTCGCTGAGATGTCGCGATATTTGCGGCAACAGTTGATTGCGTCATAAGCCTTCGCACGAACACGCGCCGCTGTGTTGCTTCGTGACCGAGTGTGCATATGTGGGCGTGGGACTGACACGAAGAGACGGAGATTGGAATTTTTGACAAGGGTTTGGAGGCTTGTGATCATGGAGCCCCTTCTGCCTGCAGGGATCGACACGACTAGAGTGGAGCGAGAGCCTGAGGACAGCGATGCCAAGAGGAAGATCCAATTCTCGGTGCCTTCTGCGGTGCCCATCCAGCTGGACCCGCGACAAGTGGAACTGGTGAGAATCATGCAGGGGAGCACAAGGCATCTATTATATCACATTAGAGTGGATAGATGGATCTAGATGGATTTAAAGTGTCCCACATCATAAAACGGAATTGATGTCAAAACAACTGAATAAAAATGCAGCAGTAATAGTTCATTGAGTAGATAGAAAGCCTCAAATGATATATCATTAAAGAATCATGGCAGTCCAAAGACTCAAACCTGTCGTCTTTGAATTGGCAGAACCATGATACACCCCTTCCTACTCTCACAATTTTTGTCTTCAATCCAGACATGAAGTTATTGTGTTACCAAGTGTAATGTAATATATTTGCTTGAGGATGATAACAATAATGATAAAAAAAAAAAAAAAAAAAAAATCATCCTAAATTGAAGCCAAACTTCTTGACCAAGCCTCCTCTAACTGCCTGTCATTCGACTGCTTTTCCAGGTGATGGTCATCTGACATGAGTGAGCAAAAGTGTGACTCTGTTCTGTTTGATTGTGTGAGGCATCTTTTGAGGTATGGTATTAATTTATTCCAGAGGACAGCACCATCAGTTTAACACAGCACTGAGTCTATTTGGAGTCGGCTCCGACTACTCTTCATCAATCAAGAAGTGGCCTTTTTTAGTCCAAAAGTACATTTAAGTGAACTTTGTGTAACCTTCGACTGTATTTTGTCAGTCATTGTGTTGCCCTCTTATCCCCGCACCAAATTGACTGCTACTTACATAATATGAGGAGTAGAAAAACTCCAGTTTTTTGATGTATTACCATCTGTTGGTAGCAGAGTATGGACAGCACTGGGATTAAACTGAGCCGTTGAAGCTTGACTTTTTGCATCTCTTAGAAGTGATGAGGCATCAAAAGGAGTGGAGGAGGAGCTGACATGAGGGATAAAGCCTCTCCCCCGTTAGAAATATTAAAAATGAGATTGTACACCACCACTGCCAATTTCAGATGCAGAGCAAAAGTAGGTCATTTAATCTTAGTCTTTCAAACAGGTTGAGATTTTTAAAACAGGGTTGGCATTTCAAATCAGGGTGACAAGGTCAGGTGTTAGGGTTTCAAAAAAATGGGGTCCAGCCCAGGGAGGGGTTGCGTTTCAAGATCGTGTTCCATGTCAGGGTTATGGTTTAAATTTACAGTTTCAAATCTCGTGTCAGATATTAAAACAGGGTTTCAATCCGTAGTTATTGTTATTGGTTTTGGTATCAAACTAGCGATAGGGTTTCACGATAGGGTTTGGGTAGTTTCAGGCCAAGTTTAGGGATTTTTACAGTGTCGTGAAGTTTTCAACTTCATGTTAGGGTTTAAACTAAAGTTTCAAGCTTCAATTCTGCTATAAAGGGCCCTCGCAATCCTGGCCATGTTGGGAGACTGTAACAGAGGACAATAGCCCTCTAAAATATAAATGGTTTTGGCAGGCCTGATGTCTGTGCAAAGTAACGTGAGTTTTCATCTCCACGAAATGAGCACGAATCCAACACATGAGAGAAGCAAAAGCGGAGATGCCAAAAAGCCGCCCACGTGTCGAACCCACGCTCTTCGCTGCGATTGGCCGACGAGCTCTCCTATATTGCGGCAAACTGTCTTATTTCCATAATGTTACAAAACATTGGTGATGATGACTCTTCAGCATGCTTTCACACTCTTCGGCTCAGCATGTTCTACCAACCAATATCCTTTGTTGAGAACAGCTGCTACAATAGGAAGTGAAGTTCATTTTCCATTTATTCAATTACATAACTCTCAGCGGTTATGACTCACTCTCTTTTGTACGAGAGTGTGAGGATGGTTAGTAACGCTAACCATGTGGCCTTGGGACACAACAACAGAGCCTTCGTTGTGAATGACTACTCGTTTTTATCAAGCAGGAAGTGAAAGGTTTTTCCCTGGTCTGTGCTTAAATGGAAAACGATGAGGCCCCAAAGCAACCCCTACCAGGGCAAGTTGAAAGAAAATTTAGAAGTGTGTTCCTCCAAAGGTGAGTCAAGGCCTTCTCCATGTGTTCAGATTCGACGTCGGAGGCCCACTCCCGCCACCCTCTTCCGACTGACGGACCCACCGTCGCCTGAAGATGACACTGGGTCTCATCAGGTACACCAGTTTTGCACCATTTTGTCTTGTGTCTCTCCAGAGTGTATTGATATGTCCCGCTGCCCCAACCCATGCCACCTGCAGTGGTCAGTAGGAGAAAATGGGGTCCTGAAGGCGAATACTGTCAACAAGATGCCAAGCACCTACCAGCCGCCCTCGCTTAAAGGTCAGTGGGCTTGCAAGGCCTCGGTGCTCCACATTTGTGTCGTACAATTATGTAACAGTTGTAGTTGTAGTGGTCTACATCTGTCCCAAAAAAATGCGTGTGTGTGTCTGTGCGCGTGTGTGTGATTTGAGATTAGAAGCAGAGGCAGCTCTGGATCATCCCGGATTATGAGATAGACACAGCTGCGGCAACACGGCCCCCCCAACTGAATGTCATAATAAAAACACTGTTTACAATAAGTGCGATTGGTGATATTGAGCATGGGTGGGGTTAAAAACAACAATTGGATATGAGTGGTTGAAATGGCCTGATCATCAAGGTTAGGATGCCATCTGTTGCTTTGGTATTGGCCCATGCAATAGTGTAAGTGCAATTCTGTGTTCCACTGTAGTTAGACGTAAGGTTGGTTGAATGTTGGGATGAGTGCCTGTGTGTGTGTGTGTGTGTGTGTGTGTGTGTGTGTGTGTGTGTGGGTGTGTGGGTGTGCGGGTG